CAAGGAAAATGATGCAGGAATGAAAAAATATCAAAGGAACGCAGTCATAGAACTGAAAGACGCCGTTCCCGCGCGTATCGATTGACTGGGGCGCGCCCATCTTAAAAAGCTAGGCTGCTGATGCGATTTTGGGCTCTAACAAAGACAAGAGGAGGAGTTTCGGAACCAAAATCTCACCATATAGTAAACTTTAGATGAACAACAGATTTATGTAAAAAATTTTAAAAAATTATGTGAATTGAAAGCTTTGCCCACCTCAGGTGGGCATTAGGTGGGCAATTGCCCACCTAATTTGGAAAAAAGTTAAGCACGCTCTTCATTCACATAAGTTTTTCATAATTTTTCATACATTGTTCCTTAGTCCTACTGCGCGTATACACACCAAGTCTCGCGCGATTTCGTTTTCGCTGCGCTGCGAACGAGCCATTTCCATGTTCTTGATAGTGGAAAATTTTCAGAAAAAAGCTTGCCACAACCTTCATTCACATAATTTTGCAATAAAACTTCTAAGATAAGCCCTGCAGGCCCGTGATCATGTACCTATCAAGTTTCATACCCTATGGTCATCTGTGCGCTGCAAACGAACCCTTGAATTCACATCCTCATTTACCAGTTTTGCGAAATTTTTGGAAAAAATGCTCATTACACCTCCCATTCACATAAGTTTTTCATAACATTTCATGCTTTGTTTCTACTAGCCTCCCTTTGTTCGCTTACGTAATTTGGTGCTATATCATTATGCCTGCATTGAGAACTGATCATGTAATCATGCTGTTCAACGGCATAGCTCATGCGACGTCGCGCACGCGGCAATTAGCAGCAACGCGGCGTAGTGCACGCGAAGTCTGCTATGCGTTGAGGTTTCTGAAAACTATTTTCCGATGGATTAGATGTATAAGGTAAGCATGATTCGACCTTCTTGCTTGCACTTGGAATTCCCGAAGCTCCGCCGCGGATCCCGCAAAAACGATACCCCCTTCGCTTTTTGGCCCCGAAACGATTTCCTGCGTGTCATTTGCCTACCTCGTGCCGGGCCCTGATTGGATGTGCTCTTTTGAGTGTTTTAAGTCTCACGCAAGTCGAAAAATTAATAAAAGAACACAATTCTGCTGATATTGCCTTATCCTCTAAATAGCATCCTCACCAGCCTCTAAGAAAATTCCCAACTTCTAGTTTAATCGCAGAAATTTCAAAAATTGTTTCCTACTCTGCCGTTTTTCGTTATTATGTATTTAATCGTGTACCACATTACAGCTTTCAGGTTCGCTGCTAACGTTAAAATATTCAAATGTATTCAGGTGTGGTTTTCAAAATGTTGTCAGCTTAGATGCACAATGCAATCGAAAATTAGTATACTAGCAGCTTTTTCCTTCCGCCAATTAATAATGAACCGTTTCAGGTATCCTATGGTTTCTTACTATCTCGGATCTGGCAGTTTATGTGCGGGTCGATAGCGTACGAGTTCTCGAAACCATTTCTTTCTAAAGGCAAGAGTCTGCTACGCCAAGAAGAAAATAATTCGTCAGAAAATGTTTGCAAACAAGACAAGATTGAATTGTCATACGAGGGTATGTTGGCAAATGTTCGTGAACTGTTCGTGAATTTGGACATTTCTTCAAATTCGCAGTTGATCCATAGTAAACAGAACCATGATTATGCATTTTACTTATTGTTAGATTCTTAGATTTAAGCATTGATAATTAAATAAAAGAAGAAGAAGAGGAAATTACCTAATTTTCGTTCCGTTCAATAATGTAAAAAAGGTGTTGAAAGGTATTTTTTATAATGGTTTTTCAAGAAAAAAATTTTGCAGAGTATAGCTAAGTGCTTGCTGATAGAGGCTTATAGAGTATTTCTTATCTAAAGCTTGCACAAAGAAGTTGCTACGATCATCGAATTCTATGCAGGCTATAAAAAAAGTAAATTGAACGGCCATGCCCTCGGTCACAGGGATGTACTTGCCGAAGCAGATTAACGAAGCAGGTATTTAGGAACATCTGAGAATTAGCGAAGATTGTTCATCTAAAGTTTACCGTAAAAAAAAATCATAGGACCTCATTTTACTGTGAATTGCGACAGTGATTAAGCGACCATTCGAGCGCCGTCAAACCAAAAAAGTTCTGATAAAGCAGAAAATTCTGTTGCTTGCTGAATTACGCCCAGGGCGCGGCCTCATTTGGAATCAGGCTTGACTTTGATTTTGGGGTGAAAAAGCAAAGGGGATATCGTTTAGTGAGTCCGAATAAAGACAAGTTAGGTGAGTTTTTCTGGTCGCCGCTCTCAAAAAAGGTCGAAGGAAATTTCGTAAAGTTTTGCGAAAGCCAGAAGACTTTGTTCTCAAAAGCCTAGAAACAGAACCAGCCGGTTACTGAGTTTGCAAACAATCATGCAAATTTTTTGTATAAAGTCCGTGCCTTGAACGCCTCTACAAAATTGCTTTAGAACCTCTCCGTAACAATAGAATTACTGTCAAATGACAAAGAAGTTACTGTGCAAGAAAATTTGATTGTAATCGCACAATATTGAGAGGCGGTTTGTTCCGAATTGTAAACCTAAGGTTTTGTGCTGCAGCACTAATACCGACCGCACTGACTCTATTAAATGCGTCGATAGCTTTAACCGTACTTACTAGACTGAGCGTAAAGAAAGAACAGTCTTAGGTTGGAGCAAGTAAATCGCGCCTAAAACGTCTATTTTCTGTTTTTTCTTAAATTCAAGTACACTCTCGCCTGCTCATCATGCTCATTTTAGGTGTGATCCTTTTTTCATCTGTGAGACGTTTTTGCTGACTTTTTATTGGATAAGTATGTCGGTTCTATCAAATGCTTGAGTTTTGTTTTCTAATTTTTTGTTTCCTTGGTTTTTGGAGTTGCTGGCTGCGCAGTTTGTAGTTTCCTTCCATATCATTGTGGGAAGGTTTCGGGTTTCCAAAGTTTGCCGATTAGACGGGGTAGAACATAGACTTACGTGACTTCAGCATCAACTAAAAGAGAGGTGTTTCCATATGTAGTAGCAGCGTTTGTAGAACAAGCAGTGGCTAAGCCAAATGTGAGTTTAAGGGTTTTTGAATATGCAAGCAATGACTGAACAGATTATTGATAAATGTACGAAAACTTAGCCCCAAAATCGAATTGAATAGGCGAGATGAATACTTGGAACCGGTAAAATGAGAAGTCAGCTTTTTCTTGATCGTAATTTATATTCGATCTATTCTGTATCAGCGTAAAGAAACGTTGTGACAGGGTATGATTATTGAGTGCATACATGCTCCTGAGACACCGTATATGCTCCTTTTACGCTCCATGACTTTGCATCGTTGTTGCATTCAATGAGACAGTAATTTAGGAAGTGTAATGCATAACATAAGTCTTAGAAGTTTAATATAACATTTTCTACAGAACAGTATCCATACAAATCTGCATTTGGTGCCTACGACTTTCGGTGGGAAAGTTAGAGCAAAGTGTATAAGAGTAAGGCAATCGTTCAAAAGGCGCTAAAGGAACAATTACTAGCTTACATGGAGAAGTGGAACGGCAAAAGCAGCAGTTTTGACAGGATTATCTTATTTGACGGCTTTGATGCAATCAGTGCACTTTTAGTCATAGATGCATTTAGTACCGAATGCGGGTTTCTCTAATGGTTCTTCACTCACGAATATTTTGTTGTTTGTTTTGGTCATGACAGTGGTTATTAGCCCAAAGTATGTCTCCGATAATACTGCCAGGTATGTCAGCTTTCAAGCATAGATTCACATAACAGAAAATGCTGTCAAGCATATTTGCTCATAATCAAGTTCCTAACATATGCACAGGATATGTTCGACGTTAATGGCTGGCTCAATGGTTTACCTCAGTACAGATGCATACTCTCTGACAAACAGGTTCATAGTCTATTGTGGAGACATATCCTACGTTCTGTATCTCGTTCACTGGCCGATTATTGCCGCAGCCCGATATTCTGTGAATTCTCAAGCGCTGAGTTCAAAAAGTAACAATGTTTTATTTCAGAATTTCAAGATTTTCAAGTCAAAAAGGGCTATGCCCGTTTACCTAAAAAGTTTAGGGTTTGTACACTGCAAGAAATAGGAGTATGTCTTGGGAGGGTTTTGCATTCTTACAAGAGAAGGATATCAATATTAGTTGGCAATTGAGAGTGAGATGTATATCGTTAGATGCACATTTGAACGCTAATTCCAAATCTGCTTTCCTTTTTTGCGGAATAAGTTTTAAAAAGAAATTATGAGCATTTGAATGTCCAGATTTGCCAAGCACTGAGTGGCTTCAAATCAGCGAAAAGCTCTAAAACAACACTTATGTCATTGCTACACGCTTTATTAATTCCTTGCAAACAACATACTCAATACAAAAATGATTTTTCCACTTTCCGGTGTTTTTGAACAGCTTTTTGCCAATTTTAGGCCACCTAAACCTTGACAACTTCCAGCGTTTGAACGCCCACAACTTTTCTCGGAAACTTATTCTGCAAAAAAAAGAAAGCAAATTTAAAATCAGCGTTCAAAGGCGCGTCTACTGATATACACCTCATCTTCAATCGCCGACTAATGTTGATATCCTTCCCTTGTTAGCTCTCAGTACTGCATAAAACTTTAAATGCTGAAATAAATTTCAGAATAGAAGAAGCACATGTTTTAGGCGTGGCGATTGTACTTTTCGCTAGCTTCATGCTATCGGTAGCGATTCACCACACTCTTGAAGTTAGGACTTTTTTACCCATTCGTATTTTGGATGTACGATATTCATAATTAAGTTGTTTGCAGAAATTTTTTGAAAAGAATGGAATCATAACGGCTTGTCTTTGCGTGATTGCCTGCTATGCGTGCATTTTTGGCACTAAGTCTACGTATCTTTACGCTCCTCCACTCGAAAGCATCAATCCAAACATCTCAAGTACTGCACACAGATTGATGAATATCTCGACAGCTTTACCAATTGAAACTATTTTAGAAATTGACTACGCCATCAAATGGAATTTGAGAGAATCTCGGAGGGGGTATATCGCGATGCCGTGCGATAAAGACGGCGACACTCAGCGCTATACACATTACAAAAAAGAACCTCAAATGCGTTGCGTTGCGGTGAGCTGAGTGCGAGATTTGCTCAGGCCCGGCAAGAAAAGTGTTAAAGACTTCCTTTCGTGACCATGATCCTGCCATTTCTCTGATTTTTGGTGAAAGTCTTTCGTGTTGTTTCCAATCCTTGTGCGCTTCGAGAGACAAAGTAAAATGAGTGTCATAAACAGTTTTCTTGACACTAATGGAAAAGCACAAAAGAGGCTTCTAAACACATGTATCTCGAAACGTAATTATTTCACAACTAAAACGCATATCATATCTTCTTGTTTGAAAGCTTAGTATAGGGGCCTGCAGGATCGCGACAGTCGGACGTGCGTACGGCCATTGCGCCGCGCACGTCGTATGTCACTGGGTCGTACTCGATTTAGGCTGGATAGGTGAGATTTTTTTGTTTTTCTTCTCATTTCTCGCCTTCTTTTCTTTTCAGGCGGCGAACATATGTTGATGCAGAGGAGTTTAAGATCTAGATTAAGGTGAGGTGCAGGATTATGCTCAATACGGGCCAATATTGTGGACTTTTCACCCCTGCTTTAAAGAATGTTGAGTTTTCTGTTCTGGCTGTCCGATTATGTTCGATTTTTCGTCCTGCCTGCCCGGTTACGAAACTCCGTTTTATTTGCAACGTCTGTTCTACCTCATCTTGCATCATGCGCGTCATCACAATCATAATCATTGTCATCATCATCATCATCATCAAGCAATATGCAAGATAAGGTAGAATAGACGGTAGAAATAGAACAGTTTGCTGTAACAGGGCAGCCAGGACAGCAAATCCAACATCTCAACCAGCAGGCATGGAAGGTCTGCAATATTGAGTCCGTATTGAGCATAATCCTGCACCTCACCTTAATTCAGATCTTAAACTCCTCCGCACCAACATGTGCTCACCGTCTGAAAAGAAAAGAAGGCGTGAAATGTAAAGAAAAACAAAAAAAAACTTACCTATCTAGCCTTAATCGACTACACCCAGCGATATCAGGCGTGCGCGGCGCAAAGGCCGTACGCGCGTCCGACTCTCGCGATCCTGCAGGCCCCTATATAAAGATGTTTTTGGCCTTCTCAAAAGTATAATAGTTGATGATTTTTTTGATTGTTAATTGTTATGTAAAGAACTATCCATCTTTCGTAGGCCGTGTTTCTGGATTTTAATCCTCTCGCAAATAGATTTATGCTGTGCTAAAAACGCAATCAATTTTTCACGTAGAAAACATATTCCATTACTACCACTTAGTTGCGCTGCGCCTGTTGATGCTTTAAGGAACTTGAGTTAGTAAGTAGTAAGGGCTTAGGCATAATCTTTCTAATAACTTTAATCGTTTTTCCTCTATTCAGAAAGGAAATGCCACTGCCAAGGTCTTGATTCTTGGCAACTCCATTGCTTATAAAGCATACCCATTGATTCACAATATACTCAAAGGACGCTATCGCAGCCTCAGGCTTTATGCAAAAAGCGGTTCGTTTTGGCAAAGTTTCTGTAACTACTTTTCTGATGGGTTTCATACCCATTAGCTCGCTGAAACTTTTTGTATTTGATAGGATGCCCATCTTTATCGAATTGGTGCGCAGATTTCACAAAGGCAACGAGGAAAGTTGTGCAACATGAAAAGCCAGACATTATAATGTATATGCATCATAGCACGTAAGTTTGTTCACAAAATCCCTGCATAGAAAACCGCCCGTTTATGAAATTTCTGTTGAGGTACGCTCCTTTTATCGCTCCTGTTGAAGATCTTAGCAAAGATCGAATAAGCAAGGAGTTTCAAGGGAATCTTGACTTTATCAGGTATTTCTATATTCGTGTGCAGAGGAGAAAGGTCTGCTAAAAGACAGAAAATTCAAATTTACGATATCGATCGATAGTCAGGCGAAAGTGCTCACTTCTCATTTTCTCCTCAGATTTTTCCCATTACTTTGGTTAAGGGTCTTAATCATGAAAGAGCATTCACTAGTCAAAATTTGTTTTACGAAGGTTCCAAAGGCATGAGAATTTTTTAAGCAACTATACGAAACATATAATTATCGATATGATTTACTACACATCTCCATTCAACGTTGGAGCGAAGCTTGCTAGAAGACTGCAACTAGGTCTTTCGCCTGGTGATGAGTTCATAGCTACTTGGGAGGTATGTGAACATGTTGCTTCTTCCGCAGTAATCTTGTATATTTCCAGCAACATATCAACAAAACACGATACCATCAACTACGGCTGAGTTCACTGAATTGCAGCAAATGCATCACGAACAACATAAATGAGGTCAGGAAAAGTTACTGGCTAAGACCCTTGCCACTGCTATTCCATTTCCGTCATATTTGCTATTCATTTCACACTATCGTCATACTAAGCAGATGCACAATGCCAAGTATCTGAAAAAGAGCAACCAACATTGATGATCTGCTATTTATAGAGACTTCGCACAGCAAGTAGAGCAGATTTAGAGATGAGACTGGATTTAATTCACATCTATGCCATAGGGTTATTTGATCATGGCATTTTCGTGGCGTTCATAAATAATGTCCAGAGTGCATTCTTTGCTAAATTTTGAGCTAGTTGCTGACTGGCTTGCTTGTTATTGCAAGCTAGTTTCATCTTTGCGTCACGCTTGCAATGCTTCAGCTGCTAAACGAACTTTGATCCAGAAGTAGATAGATACTTGGCTACCTAACCTGATATAATTGGTTTCGGAAAGCCACCATTCAAAGGAAACTAAGACCAGTACATGAGAGTGTGGGTGTCATCCTTCAACACGTTAAAGACAATGCTCATTTTCAGTTGTCTGCCTTGTGGGACAATGCCTTCCACGAATTATTTTCAAAAACTTCTAGCTATTTAAAATCGCGCGGGTTTCTATCTATACTACACCTACACAAACTCTAAAAAGCAGCCAAGAAACATCAAACTATCCTCTAGAGTCAGAGCGTAAAAGACCTCATGAAACGAATATATACCCATTAATTGTAATCATTTTAACAAAATTCAAGTCGTGACCCACAACGTGGGTCACGTTGTCCCACGTGGCAGTTGATGCATGACCCACCATGTAGGTCACATTGTCGTTAATGTGTTAAAGGCAGTGTCTCACCAAAATTCGGTTAGCGAGATTTTTGTATAGTGTCACGGAATGAGCCCCAGCTCCCAACGTCAGTAGTGTTGAGGCTCCCCTCCATCGGCGGTAGGAGCCGGGGGTCCTCTCCGTGAGAAGGTCCAATGTCACTTGGAACCGGTAGCGAAGCTTGCAGTGAATGCCATTGTGCCTGCCACACGATATGCGTCGACCATACCTTCGATAGTCTAGAGACAGGGCGCCAAAAGTGAAGGTTGTTTAAACATCTGACGTCATAAACAGTGAAGGTTGTTTGAAGAAGATCAGAGAAGAAAAAATGACGTAAAATAGATATAAAAAGCAAGAGAAACTGCTGAAAACCAGATAAAAATGCTGCAATAAGGTTTGAAATCTTTCGTTTGGCGGCTTTTTAAAGTGCAAGTTTTTGCTTCAAGACCAGCAATTCGCAACGCGGGGTTTTGATTTTTGATGCGTCCTTTGAATTTTTACCCTCGCGCCGTCCCTCTTGTACCCTGCGACGTTGTCTGGATTCTTCTGCTCATCATTCTGAGCAAGTATCGTCCAAGCTGGAGAAAATTCGTTGCGAAACCACTGAAAAAGAATAAGGTAAAGAAAAACGCATTTCTTTGTAATTTTCACAAAAAAAACCGGCATAAGCAGAGAAATAAGCTCGGCGACATTGTCTACATTATAGACAGAAACAAGACCTATCGACTACACAAAAAAACTGCATGAAAAGAGTCAAACTAGGAGAAAAACGAGAGATTTTCGAAAACAAGGTTTTTGCCGGATTTCTCGTTTAAATCATAAAAAGGAGTCTTGCGACGTTGTCAGCGTGAAAATAGAGATCAAGAGCTTCAAAATGATATATAGCTTGCTAAAATTGGGTTCGAAACAGCGAAGAAAAGGGTACCAGAGCCAAATGCCCCGCGCCCCGCGTTTGGGGTAGCGAGGTAGCGCGCAGCGCGCGGAGACGCAGACGAGCAGCGGAGACAGACCAGAGCCGGCGGGGCATTTGGCTCTGGTCATTGATCTCCGCGGGGTCATAACAAAACCCTATAATATTATATATCGTTGTGATCCTCATGAGACGGCCAGGAGCACTGACAACGTCGCAGGTCTTGAAAATCACTCCATAACGAGATAGACCAGCATTTATGTGGCGACTCTCTGCGCAAGATTCCAGCGCAGTTTCTCGTTTTTATTGAATTCCAGCGGCTTTCATGAACCTCCAACGCTCAATCGCAGTCTACAGAAAGGTTAATTGATAAGTTTCATCCTAATTTCTAACTGAATTTTTGAAGAAAAACCTTCTTTTCAGCAAAAAAGCCATAAAAACGCGATCCTTCGGTTTTTTGCGCTTTTTCCGGATGTCACTACTATATTTGCCTCATTCACATTCATCCTTACATAGTTAGTCATTAGTTATACCATAATATCCGGGCTTCGCCCCGGATGACTTCTGTATTCCTCTCCAGGTGAAGGTTGTGTCCTCTCATGACACTCAAAGTGAAGGTTACCAGAGTACGTGGCTCTATGTATCGAAGGTATGGCGTCGACTATTAGAGGCCTTGAGCTTCCAACTCACCCAGCCAAGTTTGTAGCCTGGGGCGTTGACTCCTATTCCTATGCCACCTGGGGCTTGCCATCACATTTGAGCACTAGCTAGCATCGTGCCAGTCTTCGCACGGATCTAACCATCTAGACTATATATGATGCCAACAACATTCGTAACACGAATTTAGTCGGGCCCACAGTCGTCAGCTCACCGCTCCAATCAATAATCACAGGCTATCAAATACCCACCATTTATCCAGAAATTCAAACCAACACACAAACAAGTCAATACAATGGGCTGAGGGCACGCCGCTAAGGTGTTACTTAGGGTTTCTTCATACTACGCCGTAGGACGCGGCAGCCTGCCGCAGCACGCAGCGTACGCTGCTGCAGTCGCGGCAAAAATACGCCTATGGCAGCACATACTGTCTATCACTGTAATTCTATATACGCTACTCCTTGTTTTCCGAGTCTTCATAGCTAGACTGTGCCGCCATGGGCGTACTTTCACTGCGAGCACTACGCGGCGCACGCGGCAGGCTGCCGCGTCCTGCGGCGTAGTATGAAGGAACCCTCAGTGGCCGGTAGAAAGAACCCTCCCCTCCCCCCCCCCCCCCAGGAGTGTGCTCCACTGCCGTGTGGCAAGCAAGAAGTATCAAGAAGAAGGAGACTTTGGTCTCTCCTGTTTCACGCAATAGGGGTTGGCTCCTTGATTGAAACCCAATGGCCTAAGTTAGGTGCTATTGCGGGATTCGGCGTGGTGCCCAGGAGTACATTTAAATCCTTTTTCGAAAAAGGATCCTCCAGGCGATCGGCGAGTCCACGTCTCCTCGGCTTGGCTCCTCGATTGAGACCCGACCGCACTACTCGTAGCACCGACAGCAAGACTGATTTGAGCCAAGCAGAGCCGCCTTATATAGCAGCCCGAGAAGAAGTACACGCCTCCGATCGCGTGGTCCCGACACGAAACTACCAGGACATAGCAAAACACCAAGTAAACGCAGACAAATCGACTAAGAAGGACTAGATAGACACAATGGACAAAAATACAAGTATCAAAGAAGCCCTGCGACTTTTGTGGCGGCTCGGTGGGCCCTAAGCACCTAGAATTACCCGAGACACCCGCACGCTCGCCCGCTTAGTATATACGACACAGCCTAGCCTACTACTGCACCTAGCGCGTAACAAAATACAAAATAAATTACTTATAGTTTATCCTTAAAACACAAAGAGAAACAAAACAAACACTACGCTACAATACTAAGCTACAATAAAGTAAGAAAAACAACCCCAACACGGGACAGGTTGCCCCGCCCGTGCTACTGATGTTGCGCGTCTACAATCTCTAACAACAACGATGCTCCCGAGGCTTCACCTAAACAGATCCGCCACGCGTCGCCGAATACCAGGCGCGACACCTCTCCGCTTTCAGAATTCGAAAGGTCTAAATATCTCAGATCTCAAAACTCCAGAAGTGGCGCGTCCGAGAACAATCCCAAATCACACTTGGATCTAATATAACTTTCTATCCGCTCGACCGCTAACGCAAAGGGACTTCAAAGGCGGGAGCTAATTGCCAGCACGATCACAATGGAAAACATATAAAAAGATTATTGATCGAAAACGAAAGCGAACAGACGCTGCAATGAGGCGCCGACGCTATATATAGCCTTTTGGCTGGCAACGCGCCAAGACGAGGAGAGGTCCAGCGGCGATTGCGGCTAACGTAAGAAAGTGCCGTTATCGTCGCCGTGTAGCGCGGCAGCAACCAGTGCTCCCGGCCTCCTACTTCTAGGAGCGCTCGCATCGCGGAGCCGCGACACTCCCCCCAGAAGCAGTGGGCTTGGGCGTTCGAGAGGTGGTTACGTGATAGCACCGGGGATCTGCGGTTAATGCCTTTAGCCGAAATTTTTGGATGATAGCGAGAAAAAAAAAGAGGGTTGTTGAAAGGTATCCATCAGTAGCACAGTAAGAGCGCGACAAAAGTGAGTAGATTGAAGATAACCCGTCCCGTGTCCACCGACAAACATCATTCAAGCGCACAAGGCGCATCCGTCAAACAACAATACAAAAAAAAACACAAAATCAGGATCAAAATCGAAATATGAAAACATAGTAAACTGCTGCTCGTAACTAACGAGGACCATCGCCAAGATGTTGTTGAGGCAGACGACAAACAGAAGGATCCAGTTGGCTAGACGTCCTACCAAGTTGGTGTAGTACTGTAACACGTGATCTTTACGGGGCCAAAGGAAGTTGGAGGGAACAATGCTTGCCGATCAGAGTCCGTCGTCAGTGGTATTTCGCCATCGCAGTTACTAGCCATTCCACGTTCTAACACCTGCAACTCTGAAAGAAAACACGGGCGCGCGCGGACGCGACCTGCTGGGACTCAAGAGTACAAGGTGTAGACTTCCAGAACGATGGTGTAGGGCCAAGCACAATGCCTAACGTAATGCAATTCGCCACCGTTACAGCAAACAAGCAGCTATGCCACGCAAAAAAAAAACACAAAATGGACGTCAGTCCAGCCTCCCGTGACCCAGATGGACTGTCGCAGGGTAAATGGTTTAACGTGCGTGCAACGATAACTGGCTGATGCAAAAGTTGCGGATGGCGCTGACACAAGTTAGGCGCGGCAGGTCAAGTCGGGGGCCAAACATGTAAACAAGGGAAAAAATGCAACTGAAAAATGTTCAAGAATGGAAAAATAGAACCAAATTTCGTACTTGCATCTTCCTCTCTAGGTAACGCAACATGATTGGCCAAGCGTTAGTCCAGACGGTATGGAACTCAAACAGTTTCGTGCGACGTTGCAACATATGCAGGATGGAAGGAAGGGTACGCACGTAGGAACCTGAGTTTACAAAACAGCAGAAAAAGAAATGAAAATATTGAAAAAGTTGTAAAGAAATTGTACATAAAAGAAAAAATGCAAAATTTGGAATAAGAGATGTTCCTACGTTAGTGCTCACACTGGCTATCCTGAATATTCACTCGCGCGTTTGCACGATAGGAATGCTCACTAGATGTTGAAGAAGTCCTAGATGGAAACGCGATTCTTGCCGTTGTCTCTTTTGCTTCTCCTCCTGCAGGTGGAATTTCCGAGTCGAAACTTTGGCAAGGCCATTCGCAAAACGGGCCCGTAAAAAATGAAGGTCCGATCCACCACATGTGGTTTTGCAGCTCTGAAGCTGTCAGTCCACGGGTGGCACAATCAGCTGAGTTATGGTCCGTGTTGATATAATAGAATCCGCTATCGATCTTATCAGACTTCAGTTCGCTGAGCACGTGCCGGATGTACTTAACACGATTAGCAACAAAGGTCTTCAGCGGCTTTGACGTTTGAATCCAGTAAAGGACAATCTGAGAATCCGTCAAAAATCTTATCGACTGGAGATGGATCTTAAGCTGGGTTCGCAGGAATTTTACCGTCTTCGCAGCCATGTGGCAAGCAAGTAACTCCATGCGCGGGATGGTAATTGCGCCTGGAGGTGCCAGTTTTGCTTTAGCGAAGAGTAAGTTGGACATCGGCCTCTTCCCATTAGGGCGCGTCAGGATGTAAACGGCGACTGCGTAGGCTCGTCTGGACGCATCGGAGCAAACGACAAGATCGTACGCGCTGTCGTGCGTCAGTCCAATGAAGCGCGGTACTTGCGAATGAAAATCCTTTACGACCTTCACGGTCGTATCCCACTTTTGCATGTCCTGCTCGTTCAAGACATCGTCCCAGCTATAGCCTGATTCCCATAAGTCCTGAATGAACATCTTAGGTCTTACAAGTAGCGGTGTTAAAAGTCCCAGTGGATCAAAGGTGGAGGCATAGGCTTGTAGTGCACTCCTCTTACTCGAAACTGACTGTCGCGCGATATTGATAGGCACGTAGAGTAAGTCGAGTGAAGGGTTCCACTTGATTCCTAGGAACTTAGCGTAATGTCCTTGTACTTTCATACTGTCCTCTTTTGGAATCTGCTCCATGAGCTGATGGTTGTTGGACATGAACTCGCGGAGATTCATGTGCATGCGCGCGAAAATCTCCTTGCACTCCTGCTGTTTCTTCAGGCATTCTTCCGTGCTTGTTGCACCCACGATCACGTTATCCACATAGGTATTGGCAAGGATTTCTTCATTCAAGCGACCTGGACTCCGTTCGAGGAAGTATCTGATGGCCATGTTCAACAGGAGCGGTGAAGCGTTAATGCCGAACGGTACGCGCGTAAAACGCAGAATGCGCAAATTCTCTGAAGATGGAGGCTGGTGGACATCCTTCAACCAGAGAAATCTGGTGGAGTCCCTTTGATCCTGGTGAAGATGGATCTGATGAAACGCCTTTTCTACGTCCGCGATGACAAGATAACGATGAAATCGGCTTCGCAACAAGGTTCCTACCAAATCCGGCAGCAGGGAGGGTCCTTGATACAGACAGTCGTTGAGGCTAGGATGACCTCGCTGGTGACTCGAAGCATCAAAGACTATCCGTAACTTGGTGGTCGAACTCTCTTGCTTATAAACAGCATGATGTGGGATATAATACACGTTAGAGCCTTGCGCGACTGTACGCGTAACATCCTCAATTATACCGGCACTTAACTGCGCGTCGAACGTTCCATGGTACTCTTTCCATGCTAATGGTGTGGCAAGGAATTTCTCGTACTGACTCTGAAGTCGACGGAACGCAAGGGCCTTGTTATCTGCTAAGGGAGGATGTTCAAATCTCCACGGAAAAGAGACGTAGATGTTACCGTCAATGACTCTAACTGTGTCATAAAAGTGCCTGATGGTGCTGGCGTCTGTAGAAGTTTCGTCTTCTTCAAGTCCAACTGTATCTAAGCCAAGAAGACTTCGCACAAGCTGTTCTGTCCCTGGCGCGTCATCGTTGAGTACTGTCATGGCCGAAGTGGTGTTATTTACGGCAGGATGGACTGATCCAGAAAGAACTGGTCCAAATCGCGTGTGAGATAGTATCAATCCTGATGGAAGTCTTTCATTTCTGTTCAGGTCTACGACTCGCCAGTAGTTATCTATGCCGATAAGCACATCCACTTCGACTCGCTCGTCCGAGTAATCCTGAGTGACATCGTCAATGTAGTTGAAGCATGGGACCGTCGTGTTCACGTCGCGCGTCCAAAGCTGGAGGACTATTGGGCGATCGTACTTATCCCACAGCGTAAGCGTGACTTCCAACGAGTCTTCCGTGAATTGATTCCTCCGAAAGTCAAAGTCGTGATACGCTTGTTGAACTGTACGTAGAACCGCTATCCAGAAACACTGTCAATAGCTCGTTCTTTCTAGTCCTGGTATTAAAAGTCAATGCGTGAACTACCATCAGACGTGGCACATGAGTTGTGGATATCCTTTGGCACGCAGACGCACATGAAGATGGTAAGCCTGGGTCTACCTGTGCCTGGTCTTGATCGACCAACTCTGAAGGCGCGTCATCGGTAGTTCCTTCATCAGATGACGTGCAGATGGAATTTTGGAGAATGGAATGAGCGCTATGTGCTCGTCCGATAGAGCTTGCGCGTCCGGAGATCGGTGAGCGCTGGCCCCTGGATGGTGAGGGTGACTTACGGACACTAGCACGTGGTGATGAAGAGCGTGATCTTTGCAGCGCACGATCCGTAGAGGTCTGAGCTTCAATGTCGAACTGCACGCGCTTGGGTGAAATGGATCGACGATGGAAACTTGTCGTTGGGGTAAACGTATTGGACGCTCGCGGTCTGTTGAAGCACAATGCTAGGTGGTGAGATCTGCCGCATAATGCGCACGGAGGTGCTGAACAGACAATGGCAAAGTGATCGTAATCTAAACACAACCAACACAGACCTTCTTGCTTAACAATGGTTCTCCGCTGTGTAGTATAGGGAACTTCGAAACAGTCTTCCGCTCGATGTCCTTCGACTTGACAAAAAGCACAGCAGTAATCCTGGTAAGCGCGACGTTGCGGTCGTGCTGGACTACGAGATGAGCGTCGCGGGTAGTATGGTGTTGGTGATCTACTTCTAGCCGTGCGATACTCCGACGGCGAACACAAAGGACGCGAGCAGGTGGGACAAGTCGACGGTTGGCACTGCAAAGGCCTAGTCTGCTGCGGCCTTTCCCTAAAGTACCTGCGCGGCGGGGAGGAGGTTTGGCGGACGGTAGAATCGGAATTATAGATGGCGTAAGGAGTGGGATCGGCGTCCTCTACTATTTGCAGCCTGTCGATAACCGTGTCAAATGCTTTCAGTAGATCGTCAACCGTCCACATCTGGTCTTCTTTGTTCTTCATCTCGCCGACCTTCTCGCGCGTACGTCGGGGAAATTTCGATCGGATCATATTTAGTGCACCTATCGACGATTCCTCCTTCAGTCGCTTCATCTGAGACCAGATAGCTCTGATGGAACCAAGTGTAGCGCGTTGTGAAGCCGCAGAATCCTTTGCGGGCGCTTGCTTGTTGAGCTTGTCCCAGAGACGCATTCGCAGATGTTCTGGCCGATCGTAGGTGCTGATGATGGTACGCACTGCATCTTCGTAATTCTCCTCAGTGGGTTGAAAGTTCGCAATGATGTTGGCTGCGTCTCCTCTCAAGTGCGTCTTCAAATACATAAACTTGACTGGTACAGGTACACTGTTGTTATTGTGTACTGACGCGGCGAAGATGTTCCAGAACTCGTGAAACGCGTCCATGTCACCGGAGAAGTATGGTATCTCGAAGGAGGGCAAGCTATACGAGGTGGACGAAGATGCCGCTTGTCGATGCAAGTGGAGGGTTAGAAGTTGGATTTGGCAGAAGGGTTGAAGATCCAAAAGGGTGCATGCTCGTCTGAGCAGGAGGAAGGGCCAAAAAGGGATTGCCAAATCCAGATGGGGCTCGCGGACGCTGGTTGTCCTGCTGAGGGGTCCCTGCGTCACTCGCGAGAGGGTCGTGGTCAACCGGCACTACTGAAGAAGGATCCGATGGACGATCCTGAGAAGGAGAAACCTGCGCGGGTTGAGCGGATACTTGGGGTTGCGCAGTATCAGAAGAAGAGGGGGACGATGCGGGATTAAAGGCATTGTCCAGGTCAGCTTGGAGGTACTGGGATCTTGACACAGTGTGAGAGCACGGATCCTGACTAACGCAACAGTTCAAGTGCGATCGAAAAAGGTGGAGTCTGAAGCGAGAAAGTCGCTTCGGACGAGTTTGGAAAAAAGGGGGCGGTACTCCAATCCCGCCCCCTTGACAAGTTTTGACGTGGCCAATACACTAGATCTTGAGCATTCGCCACGTCAAAACTTGTCAAGGGGGCGGGATTGAAGTACCGCCCCCTTTTTTCCAAACTGGTGAGCTGGGTGGAAGCGATCGACGAAAGATGACGCTCGTACAGCATATCCGCGTTCGGAAGGAGTTTGATCTTGTTGTCCAAACGTTCAAGCAGAATAACCGCTTCCACCAAAAGATCCGCCATACCATTGGCTTCCCAATGTGCGTAGATCTCAATGAGGAAGAAGAACTCCCCTTGCTCGTCAGGCCTCGAACGAGCAAACTCCTCAGCTTTCTCCCGCTGAGCACGCAAATAAGAAGCAGTGCAACTAATAGAAGAAATAAAGTCGGAAAGGAAAGTTCTACGACTGATGACGAAATCATAATCCTTGCCTGCATCGAAGGTAAGGCTTTCGCTTTCCAGGTTGGCCTGTTCCACTTCCGCGATCTTCTTGCGCAGGATGTTGGCTGCTTTGGTTAGCTGAGCCTTATGGGATCCAAGGAGCGACATTTCTGCAATGAAAAAGACAGGCGCAACGTAATATACATAGATATAACGAGTACATGAAGCGAATAAATACGTATACATGAGGAACCTAACCTAAGAACCCTAAAGAGGGACATACTACTGACCAACACGCTAGGGTAGTAGCAGGCGCAAAGGCAAGAAGCAAAGTAGGGTTGTCAAGAAAGGGCAGAATCGCACGCCGTAGCAATGCGCGAATAACGCAAAAGCAAAGCAAACAGCTGCATACCAGAAAGGACACTACCTGAAAGGACGATGTCGCTGCGACTCTAATGCCCCCCGGCGCTGAGTCTCCGTACAGCGAGAACCGCATCGCACTCGCAGATAGGCCTTTAAGAGCCACTGTCATACCCATCCTTGCGCAGACAACGCGCTGCATGCAGGGGCTTATAGCTGTAAGCTGCCACCACCAACTACTGCTAGGTCACCCCACGCGCTGACTACGCTTAAGGCTGCAGTGCTAATGGGTTACCTGACACCTAGATGACGCGACTGAACGCATGCCCTATCCACTGCTTGCCTGGACTTAAAACTAGGTGCGGAGCGTGGTAGACTACGGGATCGTTACGCACGCATGGAGGATAGGATAGCTAGAAACTGCGCTACTAGTGCGCGAAAACCTGCTGAGATGTTACCTACCCAATGCGACTTAGCAACGCGGCTACCCAACACTACACGCGGACGGGAAAACCGCATCCACCATGCGCTCGGCGACGATGCACCATGTGGCGGCTCGGTGGGCCCTAAGCTCCTAGAATTACCCGAGACACCCGCACGCTCGCCCGCTTAATATGTACGACACAGCCTAGCCTACTACTGCACCTAGCGCGTAACAAAATACAAAATAAATTACTTATAGTTTATCCTAAAAACACAAAGAGAAACAAAACAAACACTACGCTACAATACTAAGCTACAATAAAGTAAGAAAAACAACCCCAACACGGGACAGGTTGCCCCGCCCGTGCTACTGATGTTGCGCGTCTACAATCTCTAACAACAACGATGCTCCCGAGGCTTCACCTAAACAGATCCGCCACGCGTCGCCGAATACCAGGCGCGACACCTCTCCGCTTTCAGAATTCGAAAGGTCTAAATATCTCAGATCTCAAAACTCCAGAAGTGGCGCGTCCGAGAACAATCCCAAATCACACTTGGATCTAATATAACTTTCTATCCGCTCGACCGCTAACGCAAAGGGACTTCAAAGGCGGGAGCTAATTGCCAGCACGATCACAATGGAAAACATATAAAAAGATTATTGATCGAAAACGAAAGCGAACAGACGCTGCAATGAGGCGCCGACGCTATATATAGCCTTTTGGCTGGCAACGCGCCAAGACGAGGAGAGGTCCAGCGGCGATTGCGGCTGACGTAAGAAAGTGCCGTTATCGTCGCCGTGTAGCGCGGCAGCAACCAGTGCTCCCGGCCTCCTACTTCTAGGAGCGCTCGCATCGCGGAGCCGACTTAAACTTTACAGAATCACATATCCGGGTTACTTCGAGGCGACCAATCCTCCATTCGTGGTGTGGTCTTCTTCGCCTGAGTTGATGAAACGGCTCGATTGATCGATAGTGAGACTCAGCTGAAGCCGACCGCTTGCGAGTAGACGCGTATGACGTACGTGACTTTTTGAAGGTGAGCTGCGGCATAAGTATGCGAGCAAGAGGGCGGAGCAGAGCGCGAAGACTGGCGTTTTCGGACGCCTTCGCGCAGAGCAGCGGGCTCCTTGAAGTAGCGCAATCCGCGACCTATAGTACAAGCCTTTTCGGCCCTGTCTAAATCAGTGCGGTTTCAAAATTGCATAAAGTTTACAGAAACCCCGTCTTTCTGAAAGCCTTATGGAAGCAACTCGGATATGCTGTGCCTTTTCAGCGTAGCCTTCGTCACATTGGCAGACGCTTTGGAGCCAGAGCCAAGCGGAGGGACATGTTGAAACGCGTGAGGGAGACCCGGAGCTTGAGCCATGCGGGCCAAATCGCGCTTTGCGGGCCACTTGGAGGGCAAATTTCTTGGCGTAGAAGGCGGATCGAGTCGGACTTGGGACCAGAGGTGCGATAGATGGAGCCGGGCCCACTGAAAGTGAAGGTGGTTCCATCTACCACTAGCCGGCCAAAAGTGAAGGTGGTAGTGCCGGACACTCCCTCCCAAAATGTCGACCGGGGGGGGGGAGGAGCGTTAGCCGACTGAGCCTATCCTTCCAGATCGTTGCCGCCAGTGCGCGGAAAATAAGCAAAACAAACGCAACAAGATTTTTGAAAGCATATTTTTATTAATTAGCATGATTTTATTTATTTATTTTATGTATACGGCGGCATATATGTATATTTAAAATAAACGTGTTCAGTAAGTGGTGTATTTTGAAGTGAAAGCCAGCGAGACTTCACAGATTTTATTAGGTAAATTTTGTTATAACTTACTGCGAAGGAAGTAGGTCGATTCAGGCAGTAACCGCCGAGAACCAGAATTTTGAATAATAAAATAACGATAATTTATGCGAAATTTCCACGTTTATGAATCTTGCGGTTGAAGATGTCAGCAATTGCGACTTCATAGCTTTTGAAGGGCAAGTGTTGCTCCACGAGATAGTGAAAAGATTAGGTCGACCTGAGCAGTGGCCGCCGAGAACGAGAATTTCAAAAAATTAAGCGATTTCAGGTTACTTAGTGACATCTGACGTTCAGACTCCTATAAATCTGGAATATGAAGGTGTGCAATGTTGCGACTTCATAGGTTTTGTAGAGTAAGAATTGCTCTATCGGACTATGTTTTAGCCGTACCGATCCATCAAGAAACCGCCGAGATTCAGGCTCTTAAAAAAACAGGTGAAAAACCGCTTTTTGAACTTCAACAGCTCATAACTTTTAAGAATTGCATGAATTATGTTGCGACTTCATAGGTTAGATTCTTCTCATTAAGGGCTTTCAGATGATGTGTGATATGTGGGGGGCTCAACGATTTTTGCGGCTCTAACCCAGGGTGGAGACTTTTCACCCCAAATCTCCACCTCGCCCATGTTAATGTATTGGCCGGAGACCGCCAGTGGAGACTTTGGGGTGAAAAGTCTCCATCCCCGGGCATGTGCCGTGAGAGGCGCGAAACCCCCCAAGATATTATATATCATCTGAAAGCTCTTGATGGGAAGAATCTAACCTATGAAGTCGCAACATAATTCATGCAATTCTTAAAAGTTATGAGCTGTTGAAGTTCAAAAAGCGGTTTTTCACCCGTTTTTTTAAGAGCCTGGATCTCGGCGGTTTCTTGATGGATCGGTACGGCTAAAACAAAACCTATGAAGTCGCAACATTGCACACCTTCACATTCCAGATTTATAGGAGTCTGAACGTCAGCTGTCACTACGCAACTCAAAATCGCTTAATTTTTTAAAATTCTCGTTCTCGGCGGCCACTGCTCGGATCGACCTAATTCTTTTACTACCTCTAAAAAAACACTTGCCCTTCAAAACCTGTAAAGTCGCTGCTGACATCTTCAAACACCAGATTTATAACAGTGGAAATTTCGCATGATTTCTTCGCTATTTTATCATTCGAAATTCTGGTTCTCGGCGGTTACTGCCTAGATCGACTTACTACATAAACATATGTTCTCAATACTTTTTTTTGCGTTCCTTTTGCTTATTTTCCTTCTTTTAAGCTTCAATAAAAAATTTTCTCAAACCCAAAAGTGAAGGTGGTCACCCCGTACCAGCTCAAAAGTGAAGGTAGGCGGAGACTCGGCTCTGACTATCTCACCTCTGCTTGGGACGGTCGCCTATCCAGGGGGTCCTCTAACGAATATGGTAAATCCTCGCATTACTCAGTTTTTGTAAGACAATGCCTTTAATCGAACGTTAGGCGTAATTTTCTAAATGCATAAAGGAAGAGGAATAGGTTACGTAAGTTAGCAACCACGGCACGTTTTTAAAACGACCCATTATTAGCAAAAGTGTAGGTGCTGAAAAGACAGGTACAGGTGCCGCTCAGGTTGCATTGAGAGTTGAAGAAGAGTGAGTTGAGATAGGAAAAAACATTTGCGCAAAAATTATTTTATCGACAGCTCTCGCAGTGATTGTGAATAACGCATAAAATGCAATCCTGGTACAAATTTGATTTAGCTCCTGACTGACGTGCTCAGTCACTGCAAGCTAAATTCAAAGTCAGGCCAAGCTCACCTGCTAAACAAACTGCAATCTAGAGGTAAAGAGATACGTGGATAGTTAAGCTAATAAGGGAAAAATATTGACCTCAAAAAAGTCAATAAATTTGAATTTGTCATTCTTTGATCAAACTAAAGGTGTAATGTCCAGACAATGCATAAGGAGGATGCGCAGTTTACGGATAGGGAAAACGAGGTGTGATGTGCGATACTGACTTACAAAAAGACTTAGGCAAGGTCACTCGACAATAAGTTAGTAACAGCCCTATTTTTAAATGACCGCTTAACAATAGAGCTGCCAAAAAGGGAAATTTGTCACCTCTTGCATTCTTGGTTTTTTTATGAGACTTACAATTAGTTATGTCAAAACGATGAAAACACTGTGCCTCAGATTGGAAGGTAGCCGGCATGATAGCTTGTGCCAGCCATGTGCGTTGCGTAGGTCAAATCTTTCCAAATTTTATTAGGCTGGGAACTAAGTTTTGCAACTGGTCTCATAACTTCCCTCTCACTGAACGTGGCGCACTCAAATTTTGGCATTATGTAGAGACTAATGTGTGCTACAAGCACGCGCAAACCGTTTGAATTTTGAACGCGAAATGGAAAATTTTCAGGCATTTTTCGAAAACTAGTAAAATTTAAGAATTTTTGGGGTTTCAAGATAAAATGAAGCCTTTAGCAGCTTAGACCACGCGCAGTAATCCGGATTCGTCTAAAAATTATTGCTGGAGGTTGGCTCCTTTGGCCCAATAAGAAAGAAACAAAATTTAGGGGCATGTCGAAATTTGGTGTCCTCACAAAGTCGAACGAGTCGATGTACGCAAGAGCTGCTAGGACGACCGTCAGTGACTAAAGAGTCGGAAGCTCAAATTCCGCCGAAACTTTACACAGTAAGGTTATTTGACCTGCCGAACGCGAATATCATATTTATTTGTTGAATCAATGCCTTTTTCCTTGTTCGAGGTGAGACCCCATATCGTGCACCTACAGTATTCCTACAAAAAAGCCCTTATCACATAATTTCACTATCGTTTTCGCGATCAGCATGTCGGATAACATACCTATGCCAAGTTTCAGCCAAATCTGTCAAATTTTGAATTTTTCCCCTTCATACCATACACCTACCGTAATCCTCACTGCGACGCCAGAATTTGGTAGAACAGCAGCTGCGCTTGTAGCTTACGTAATAATGAACACAGTGGCAAATTTTGAGTGCGCCATGTTGAGTGAGAGGGAAGTTAAGAGAAAAGTTGCAAAACTTAGTTTCCAACCTAATATATCTACGCTATGATTATACTGAAAAATTTGAAAAAAAGCTGGGAGCTTAGTTTTGCTCTAATCTTTGCTTTTCCGCACCATTTTTTTTTCCAGCGGAGAACATATAGTTCCAAAAAGAATGACTTTGTGAGCGTAAATTGACAACCATCGGACTACTGTTATCTTTTTGCACTATCGTTCATCTTGGCATACACTCCTTAGTGTTTGTCTTTGATATTCCAATACCCAGATGCGAACGGGATATGAGACCTAGTCAAAACATTACGAGACCAAGTCAGGACACCTCACGTACATAGAAGTATTAGGTTGTAAAGGAAGTTTCGCCAATTAATCTCATAATTACCAAGAATGAGTGCGAATGCTAGGGGCTAGTTCGGGATGTGTTTTTAGCGTGCGATGGCCTCAGCTACCGAATACGCTGTCCAGCGAAAATTAATGATAAATCAAGAAGAAATACCCAAAAAGGAGAAACCGCTGCCCGCAGTTGTGCGAAAAGGCAAATTTTTCAAATGTGGAACCTGTGAAAGCCTGATGGAGTTTGTGAAAGCTTGATTTGAAAATTTGTTTCAGATTTTTCTAGTACCCTTTTGTTGGTTAGATGAAAGAATATCCGACTATAACCTACTCTGGTATCTGGGCCTTTTCTCAAGCAAAAAATGGCTCATCAATTTCAGCGTTATAACAATCGAACTCCCAACCTGTTTGTAAACGTAGCGGGCGCTATTCTCGCATTAAAGCATCCATGATATACATAATTGGCAGTCCAAAGTTATTAGTGCACATGACCAAAATATCATTGATTGACAGCCAGTCATGATGAAAGTATAATAAACAATTTAGTTTAACCTCTAGTTGCAGAACTTTCGTTACAATCTTTACAACCTGATACAGTCAAAAGATTCTCTAATTTATTTCTTGTGATTGCTTTCGAATTTCTTGTTCGGCTAAAAAAAGTAGACTCAAGTTTGCGCTTGATTAACGACCTCCAACCACAGACCATCATATCATATATAATTCAGGCTCTCTTCAAGAATGGTCTTTTCCACTTGTATGATCCAGATACGCTACTTGCACGACTTGGAGATGGCATTCATATGACCCCCGTAGGACTCGAATTGCTACGACCGTTGTATACTAAAATTCTAGAAAACCTACTCCAGAGACTTACTATTTGATGTAAATAATTTGCGATATTAACTCGCCAACTCGATACTCTGATTATTGCAAAACTTGCATGTTTTTTCAGGGCCTTCTGAATTTTTGCTTCAAGTTGTATAATTTACGTTTTCAGATATTGTAGCATTCATAAAATCACGTAAAAATGCTGAAACTTTTGAGTCATTAGCGTAAAAATGACAGATGAGAACTGCATCTTGTTGTATGTTATTTTGTATGAAAAGTACGTACAAGTTTAAATCTTTTTTTTTCAGCAAAAACCGTAATGTTCGACAGAGTGTATGCTTTTCAAAGCGTGTTTTGGCTATAAAATCGTTTACTTCGTTTCTCCGGTTTCGAACAATCCAAAAAATTTCAGCTCTACCTCCGGAAAAGCTGAAAGAATTCATTTTCTGATAGTTGATGGCGCATTCAATAAAGGACAGAATGTTTCGTAAGCAAACCTAATGCTTCTACTATGTTGTTGAAGTCTAGATGTCATGTTCGTCTATCAAGAACTTCGCTGAAATCAACAGCTTCCTAACTTTCTTGGCTATATTACGTGTATAACGACCTAATGCTTTGTTCTATGTTTTATTCGTTGCTTTAATGACAGTGCTTCATTGCTTGAGTTGGATTATAGCTTAATGGTAATTGTGATGGAGCCTAATTAGTCCCTTTGTTAATCTAAACTTTGTTCCGTTTTGCTTTCTTGCCATGAAGTAGGTTTCTTTGAACGAAAATGTGCAATTCCCTCTTCAACGCCTTGGGGGTTCTGTCCTTCTCCAGCAGGTTATGTTTGACGAGTTTTGCTAGTATATCCGCCAGCCGTGCTTCAAGTCTGCATGAATGCTCAAGAAAGTTTCAATCTTAGGTTTTGTTTGATAGCACCCTCAATACGATCGCACGCAAGAAATCGTGTGCAGACCGGATCCGAACTAACTTTGATGTTTTTCCTTTTTTCTTTGTTGTTGCTGCGCCATGTTTTGTTGCACTTACCGTACTTGATGTGGCAAGATTTAAGCGTATCAAATAAATAAATAAATTCTCAAATACCATGTATTCTAGTAAAAGGTTATTGCTGTTTTTGAGTAGTGGAAAACACACTGAAATCGAATAAATGAACTCAAAAAAGAATCACGGTTGTATGGGTCTTAGAAACAGAGACACGTGGTTTCGAGCGCTTCCTCATGTTCCAGAGAAGAAGGGCCGAAGAGACTGGGACAAAGTGTGAGCGACAAAAGGAACCATGCTGCCGCTTAAATCAAATGTACACTGGGTGTTAAGTTCTAAGGTGATGCATAAAACTGGGGTAGAGGAACGAACGCCTCAATTAGGCATCGCCTTCGCGGGCTGCTGGTCCTTTCGTCATACTGTTGTGCATCGCGTTGGGACCAGTGGCCCGCGGAGGCGCTGCCTAATTGAGGTGTTTGTTCCTCCACCCATAAAACTGCTCTCATCAATGCACCATATCATAGTAAACGTCATCAGGATATAGAGAGTGTCTCAAAAAATATGAACAGTGTTCGATCGCCAATAACTCTCTTGTTTTCATGTCTTTCGCTAAACCTGAGGTCCTATTCTGTAGAGCGAGGTTAATCTTAGATTCGCAGTATAGAGCGAATCATCAGTCGCTCTTCATTACTGTAGGATAAAGGTAGAAACTTCGAGAAGGATCTTAGAAAATTGAAAGCGATTTCCACCTCAGATGGAAGACCAAATAAGCCAGAAACACTTGCACTAGACTAATCAAAGTCGCTGATTCTAAATATGAAAGTTGCACTTCACTGTAATGCTATTTTATAAGTTATTTCAGTTTAGGAGCGACTAATTCTCCAATTCGTCAGAATTCTAATTACACCTCAAAAAGGCTCAAAAAAGTGGTAAAAGTTATGTATTGAAATCAGCACGCCTGAAAACCTTGTTACAAAAATTTCCAAACTTTTTGGAAATCTTTTCATCAAAAGGTTTATTCCATAGTGGCGCTATATGCTGAAAGTTTATACCGTAATCCTACGGTAACGACGAGATCGGAGATTCGTTCCATGCTGTAAATCTAAGTTGAACCCTGCTCTACAGAATGTTATCTCAGGCTCGGTGAAAGACATGAAAATAGCAGTGTTCACATTTTTAGGACACTTTGTACATGATTTTCAAAATTTATGATCCATACACTCGAAATTTTTTATTTCCGAATTTGTTCGCTAATCATTCATTCAATAAATAATTTCGAAAATTTTCAGGTATACACTAGCTTGGCACAACGAGATTTCTTTTCCAAGCAGTGCGAGTCTAGACATAGTGCCTACCAGGAACTGAACTTAAATTAGCTCAAAAAAAAAAACGCCTCGCTTTTTCGTCACTGACAGTAACAACCTTCAATAAGAGTAACTATTAGGTTGTTACATAAATCTTGCTATACTTAACTTCTGACGGCGATAAAGTCATGCACCTCATATTCTTTATAGGGCTCCAGATTACCATTCGATAGAGCAAAGCAAGCTCTGCAAGATAATGTGCAAAAGTTCACACCAACTTCGACCCACTGTAACTTTGCATCCAAAATCTGCGTCGTAGTAAAGGCTCAAAAATTGCGAAAAATTCATGTTTTGTTCAGAAAGATCCTACGAATCTACGACTTGCACATAAAAATTGCCCACTATATCAGACACTCATGTGTACCGTTGCTGTATTTCTTCCTCATCTGGAAATCGAGATAAGGAAATTTTTTTAGTTTTTACAAAAACGAAGCTGTGCTGTTTCTGTTCATGTAGCTGTATACTACAAGCCCTTAGAAGTATAACCTTTTCAGCTCTCCAGAAGCCCTAGCTTTTGAAAATCACCCAATTTAGTGTTGAACACCTAAGTGAGAGAAACTAAATATGGTATTTTTTCGAAATTTTAGTATACAGCTACTTGAATAGAAACAACATAGCTTTGTTTTTGTAAAAAGTAAAAAAATTTTCTTTTCTCGATTTCTATATGAGGAAAACATACAGGAACGGCACATTTGAGTGGCTGGTGTAGTGGGCAATTTGGCACGAGTTAGAGATGCGGAGGATTTTTTTGAACAAAGATATGAATTTTTTGCAATTTTTTGAGCCTTCAGCGCGACTCGTATTCCGGATGCAACTATACAACTCTGTTTTGTTGTATAGTTTGGTTACTATTTTATTATTTTTTATTTCTATGTCAAGATCTAAATAGTGACATTTATATTGATTTTCATGAGTTGATTTTATAGTAAGTGTATCTTTATAAACCTTTTCAATTACATTTTGTATAGCATGATTTTCCATATTATGTATGATTAATAAGTCATCCATATATCTATATGGAATAAATCGTTTTCCATTTGTAATATTATTTATTGAGTATATGTATTCTAACCAGGAAAGTGTGGGATCTGCTAAAAGAGGACTCTAAATGAATAATTAATAGACAAAATATTAGATTAAACCCTACTTTAAAATATCTTCCGCGAAATCCTTCAAAAGCTTATCCATTTTTTTACGATAAGGATTTTCAAGGCCAGTAATTCTAATCTTATATATAAAGCTGAATGTCTGTCTGTCTGTCTGTACGTATGTGCGGAATAGAAATTTTTATTTCTGAACCGATTTGGACCAAACTTGGCACACATATACTTCGGGGCAGGGAGCGTGTCATAGGCTACTTTTCGCTATCGATCGATATCGATTTTATCGATTTTTTGCAAAATTTGAGCTAGGGGGCTGGGATTTTGCACAGGGGGGTAATCGAGCATGCTGATCACCCCGGAAAGGTTGTGCAAAGTTTGGTCCCGGGCGGAGCCGGGTTTGCCATCTAGTCCACTCTAAAGCGACTCGACGATTAACATGTTCCTGGTACACTTTCAATTTTTTCTCCACAATTTCATTATCCGCACAAGACATCTTAAAACTCAAAGTTTAAAACACATACTTATAACAGCCTATAAAATTACAAACATATTTTGAAATTCTACACAAAAAGTAAAAATGAGTTAATCATTGTATAAAAAATTTTGCAAATGCGAAATAATAGATATTTATATGTACAGTTGGGAACCCAGCTCAATTTAGATGGGAGAGTGCTTTCACAGAACTATTCGATCATAGTAGTGTCTCAGACTAACTTATCAAACATAGTGATGAAAACAACCTAATGTCCGTCATAACAAAGCTTAGAGGTAAGAAACATTACAACGCATCGATGTTGAAGAAGAATTACTTTGCTGCTGGACAAATCTTGAGAACCACGCGCTCTCTATGAATAAGCACGTAATGATAGTAAGAGCAGGTAGTAACAATCAAGCTTATTTAGAGGGTAAACGAGTTGTTCAAGAACTGTAGGAGTACTACGCCACATTGAAACCGGAGCAATTGGAATACAGACTCTTGTGCAGTTGTAAGATGTGGGTGAAATGAGTATACATAGCCCACCTTCTCAACGCGAAGACAAAAATAAATTAAACACACTACTTAACTTCCATTTATTATTATTGAAGTTCCTAATTATAATTTCATTTTTTATGGAATACACAAACTAAATTTTCTAAAACCATAACTTCTCCAACTCCTTTTAAACTAAAACATTGATTAAATATAAACAATTAACTCACTATAGCATGTATATCTTTTTAACACTCAATAAATTTATAAATGTATAACATTGAAATACAATAAAAGAGACCAAAAATAAATTAATTAATGTTTACCTTACTATTCTATTCAGAAAAACCCTTAACATAAGTTTTTTCTCTTTTCTTTTTTAATTATAATTAGGTAAGTACAACCGTCTAGGTTAATTGAAACACTACTCTAGTTTCCTTTTCTTTTCTTTTCTTTCTTTCCTTTCTTTTCTTTAGTCGTAAGACTATAGTTACTCATAGATGCATAAACAATCTTTGATAAGAGGGCCATACCTCTTGTTCATTAAAAATAGGGAGATTCCATGATGGGTATTGCAAGCGGGAGTGAGGACTAGGGGGATACTCCTCCTGTGACTCCATGGATCTCGTTTATTCACTCACATAACCTTTTAAAAAATTATCAAACATATTGGGTTTGTCGTAAACCCAGCAGCAGCCCTGAAAAATCACATTCTCCCAGCACCCTGGGGGTAAGAGCCTGCCACTAAGGTAGCTTATCAGATTGGTTCAAAAAAACTGTACCTTACGACGTTCATGATTACTTTAAACTAATACAAT